GTGGGCTGCACAGAGAACAGCCAGCACAACAGAACCTGACCGCTCACAGAGCTCTCTAAAGTATGACATGAACACACGAAGAGGAGCTCCAGCTGACAGCATCTAAGAGCTCGTCCGGCCCCACATAAAGCTACAATGCCACTGATCTTTTTTTTTTTTCTTTTTCCTCTGGACCTTCCTGGCTATTAAAGAAATTAAAAACCCAACGAGCTGTCAAGGCACCATGGCGAGGCTCTGTCCAAACCCCTGATGTCAGTGCTCTGGCAATGGTTTGTGCCTAAATCAGTCAACAGTTTAAATCACAGCGTGACCAACACAGCCTCAAGCTTTGCTTTGCTTAATGCCACATGCTCAAATAAAAAAACCTAAAATACCTTAAACCATTTCCCCTACTATTTGACAAGAAGTGTAATTAAGCATCCTGTTAAACTCTCAGCCCATTAAGTCCCCAGCTCTTTGCTGCTTGCTGTGCTGTGCTCCCCACCAGCAGCTCCAGGACCAGGGGTCATCTTTAGCTGGCCACAGCAATGTCAAAAACACAGCAAAAATCAATGGGTCTGCATTAAAACAGTCTGACTGCACGACGTTACGCTGACAGGAAATGTTGGAACCATCTCTTCGGAGACTACAGCTGATGGAACAAAAACAGCAAGCAGCTTTTCCAGGAAAATAGGAGAGGAAACAAACGGTCTTAGCAAATAAATCATCTTCTGAATAGTTGATGGGCATCAGAAAGTCTCCATTTCAGAGCAGCTAAAGCCAATGGCTGCCAATGCTCCGTACAGATTCAGCGCGTGGACATCACCGCCTGCTGCAGTTAGCTCTGCCCAAAACGTCTCACAAGCCACAGGTACGGGGCTGAGCACCCTGTGTATGTTACTATAAACGACCCCTCACCCTGCCCAGCACACACAGCAGGAGAAACATGCAGGAAAAGGCAACGTTTGGGAGGTGCAGTTGGAAAGACTGAAGGGTGCTCACCAGTCCTGCAGCACAGTCAGCATGCGGCGATGTCACTGCTTTCACTTCTAAAAAGCACACAGAAGTAAGAGCTGATCTTGTCAGAGCACGCACCATCTACAGACCACAAGGCTTTGAAAAAAAAATATATATGTATTCAGTATAATGGTGAACTTCCCAACTCCTCAGACTTGTATAAATACATGCCAGACAATTCAACGTGGGGAAAGAGAGGCAGGCAGACTCAAAGGGACACGAGGATGCTGCACCCAGAGCGCAGCTGTGCAACCCATGATGCTGACCAGAAAGGCTTTCACTGCTGTTTTTTTCCTTAAGCACAAACATTTTTGCACTTATAAAATATTCAGTCAGCTCACATATAAAAATACAACAGTAACCCATTATTAATTTACAAGGCCTTATTTAATTTACATGCCATTTTTCTCTAGTACATCGAATTTATCGAGGCTTGCAGCAATGCTCTCTGCTAAATATTCATACGCTGACAAGTAAAGTTAGCTAGCAGACATCCCCAAAATTCCACCCCGAACTCACAGCAGTTGATCTGTGCCACACTGTCCCAGGCAGGAGCAGAATGCAGCAGCAGCACAGCGCACACCTCGCTGTAACCACAACTGCGCCGTTTCTTCTTTCTGTCTTTTCCAACCCCAGCAAGTCTACGAGGTTTTCAGCTTCTCACTTCTCCCTAGGAAGGACGCCCTGCATCTGCTCTGGCAGGTTTACACCTCAAGAAAAACCTATCCAAAATGCAAAACCCAAATATCTTCTTCCCCTGTCCTGACACTGGGTACAACCAACCCGGCCATGAAGGCACAGACCCTTGGCACCATCCAGGCAATTCTGCTGCTCTCTTCTGTTCCTCGTCACAACTTAAAAGCTGCACAGGGCTGCAGGAAAGCGCAGCAGAAAGAGGAAACTTCTCAAACCTACGCTCTGCTCAGTGCAGAACAGCCCAAGTCATCCCAAGTCAAGACGGGTTAAATATTAACAAACTTCAGCAGAGAGGGGAGAGCGTCAGCCCTGCCCAGGCCATTAGCATTCTGCTCATAAACCTGCGAGGAAAAATAGGCTGGAATGGGACAGTGGGTGCTGGGAAGCAGAAGGTGAAAGCTGACAGATAAAATGCAGGGATGGCAAGCAGGCCAGCCTCCCCGAAGGCTCCCCATAGTCCGGTTACTGCCTACTGTATTAAGACTGCCTTTCTCATCACTTAATGCTTATTTTCATCACTTTGCTTAAAATATTGATAATCAATTAGGGCTACGTCTGTTTTGCCACAGAATCTGTGTCACAGTCTATCAGACTGTCAGGGCCAATTCAATCCTCATTCAAAGTTAATTTTTTCTTCATAAATCTGCCTTTGGAGGAGTCATTAGGCGCAGAACATAGCCCGAGGTGCAATCACCTATTCTCTTTCATTAGCGGCAGGCAGGGAAGGTGAGGGAGATTATTAGAACTTTGGAATGATCACAAAGCAGCGTGCTGCCTGTCAGATCCCCCCAACATTTAATTCATCTCG